TGCAGCGCGGGCACGTTTGGCGACGGCGTGGCCGGGGACGCGTCGCCGCTGTCGACGCCGAGGGGGTTTGCGGGGCCGCCTGGCTCGCCGGCGTTGGGGTCGCCGTCGTTCTTGGGCGTTCCAAATCAGACGGCGAATAAGGCGTGTGTGCAATGAAGATGTGTATGTGTTGATGGGACTGTGGAAGCGGGGCAGACATGTCACCATGGTGAGGTCGAGGGAAGGGGGGAAAAATCGCCGATGCGTTAATTCTCCGCCAAATTCTTTTTTGTGTGAATTGTTTTTCTTTTCTGACGTGAGCTGAATTCGCCTGGATTTTTGGAGAGGAAAGTGGAGCAAAAGCAGAGCAAAGCAAAGGCTCGCACGGGCTTTCGACGATACCTTCTTGCCACCACTTTCAGTATCATCATCGACACCTTAGACGCAACGGACGGACACGCTAGAAAGGAAACACTGCCCAAAATGGCCGACGAGGTGGATCAGAAGTTCGAGCTGCATCCGCCCAACATCGACACGAGCAGCAGCGCCACTTCCACAGCCGCTGCGCCTGCTGGCAGCGCCTCCTCCTCGTCGACCACGCCCAAACCACCCTCGGGACCAATACCCATGTCGATGCCGTCGATCCTGCGCAATCCAGGCACGTCGACACACTCGAACCGCCTGTCGTACCTGCTCGCCTCCTCGTCGTCATACCCACCCACCGCGCCACGTGCCAGCCGCACCACGCGCTCGTCGCACAAAGAGCCGCAGCTCGGCCGACGCAAGCAACGGCGCTCGGACAACGCACGGCTGCTCTCGAACCCACACGCGGTCCGCCCCACGGTCAAGGACTACCGGCTGCACAGCAACGAGATCCGCTCCACGTTCCCCGCCCCGGCCTCGGGCAGCAGCGGCAAGGCGCACAGCGTGCCCGTGCCGAGCAGCAGCCGAGTGGGCTATTCGGAGCCAGTGCACGTTGCGAAGGCGGCGAACGAGGGCCAGTTTGGCAAGAGCTTGAGGGATGCACAGCGCGTGCTCAAGCGGCTCGAGATGGGTAGTATAGACGACGAGATGATCCGGCAGCACAGGGCGGGCGAGCTGGAGCGCTTTATCTGGCTCGTGGACCGCGAGGTGCGCATGTGGGCGCAGGCCGAGACGTTTGTGTTCGGCGAGCAGCAGGGCAAGGATCGCAAGGTGGGCAAGGTGCTGCTGGACGAGTCGTTCCGCTTCACCACCTCTCCCTTTGACGCGGTACAAGAGCCGCCGACGGTGCATCTGGATTCAGTCACGGCAGACGCAGTCGGCGGACAGCTGGTCGAGTTCCAGCGCACGCCCAACGCGCTCGTGTGGCTCGTGCACGACCCGTTCCTCCGCCTCATCGTCCACTGCCTCGCGCGCGTCTCGCGCTGTCCGTCCTTCTCCAAGGACGACGTCGCGCGCCCGGGCCTGCGCTTCACGTGGATCCTCAACCGCAACCCGCTCGCTCGGCGCAGCAGGCGCGGCCGCAGAGTTTCCGTTTCGAGCTCGACCATGGACACCCCGCCCGCCGCGCGCCCAGCCGTCGCAGCGCGGGCTGGCGTGCTGGACACGCCGCCAACGACCGACTTTGACTCGCAGACAGAGAGCGAGCTGGATACAGACACGGACGGTGCGAGCAGCCTGGGCGATTCGCTCGTGCTCGTGCCCGACGGCGGAGCGGGAGAGGGAGGCGAAGGCGTAGATACGGACGAGGAAGAGGCAGAGATCCTCAGGAGGGTCAGGAGGTGGGCGATCGACAGCCGTCGGCAGCGGGCCCAGCAGCGCGATGGCCCAGCAGCGGCGTCGAGAAGCCGACCGACAAAGACGAAAGTGAAGCAAGCTGCCACGGGTGATGCGGAGCAGCAGGATCCAGATCAGACGCTGACGGCGACGGCGATTGCTGAAGAGGAGGATGAGGAGGAAGATGATCTGGATGACGAGGTGCGCTCGTTCAGCGATGCTTGATGTACTGGTCTGCAATACACTCGTTGCGGCTATATCCGCTCTGCTTCTGGTCTGAAGCGCCAAAAGTAGGAGGCTGCGTCCCTGGCCCCGGTTGCGCGCATATCTGTCCAGCAGATTCATACGCTCGCTTCCCAGTTTGGGCTGCATGCGCAGCACACAAAAGCGGAATACACACACACGCAGCCTTACGAGACTCAGCATTCTGACGTGCGCCTTGGGCATCTCGGAGCGTCCTTTGTCGAATGTTGTTCGTGATTGCTTCGTGAAGCACGCAAAGACAAACAATCCCCATTGC